CATTCAAAATAAAGGGGAGTATAAGCGACAACAGAGGGGAACCACAGACCTTTTAAAAATGAAGAGGACAGTGAGAAAAATATTTGGGCTGAAATTGAAGCATTCTCCTGAAAAATGCTACTCGCTAGGCCATCTCTCTTCGTAACCTTCTATACTCATGCAGCCAGTGAAGTCAAATCTCATGAGCTGCATAATTGTTCTGGATTACAGACCCAGAAAAGACTAAAGCCACTGGATCAGAATGACAGCCCAACATTCGGCACTCCGGCTGTACTGAAACTTAAAATCCCATCATGTCTCTGACTGTGGGAGCCATGCCTGTCAGAGTCTTGCAATGCCTCTTGGGACTTGTAGTTCTACAACAGCTGGAGTGTCGAAGATTGACCAACCCCGGTCTACAAACTCTTCTTGCCATTATTTTGTATTTCTAAAAAATATAGATATGAAAATTACCATCTAAAGCGAATATCGCGGCTCACTTTTGGCCTGCACAGTGACCAGTGAATCGTCCTTCCTTTCAGATCTCAGGCCACACTCATGGCAGTACGGCATAAGGTTTATACGGGTGTTCTTCAAGACCAGGGGTGACCAACTCCGGCCCTTCAGCTGTGCTTTAACTCCAAATCCCGACATGCTTCCGCCTCTGGAAGTCATACATGTAACTGTCAGTCTTGAAATGCCTCATGGGACTTGGTAGTTGCACAACAGCTGGAGGCCCAGAGTTGCCCACCCCTGCTTAAGACTGTCCTTGGTCCTTTGTATAATGTAACACTGCCTAAAACATTGATTAGATAAATATGGGAAATAAAATCATTCGTTCACATTAAAATATATTTTTGGCCATCAGAAGGAGGGTTTAACCTTTGCTGCCCCCGTCCTTGCACAATGCTTATTTTACCCAAAAGGCTAAAACAAGCCCGAGCACACATGCTGCACCCCCAAATACCGTCAAAGCTCAACCTGTTTTCTGTCAGCCCCGGCGCATCTGCTGAAAGAGGGACCTGGGACCTGTCCAGATCATGTGTGCAGCAGAATAGTTCCAAATGAGCTCCTTTAATCATGTGGAGGAATAAAACGCGTTACGAGCACAACATATGACATATAAAAGAAGGGACGAGTGCAGATCCGGGGTAATTAGGAGCATGTGTATAGCCTGACAGAACCAGGATGGTCCTCACACTGTGCGCTCGAGGCGTCAGTGCTGCAGGATGGGAAGTGAGCGACATCTTCAAATAAGGCGATTTTCAACTAAGGCGATTTTTCAAACATTTCTTATTTGAGATTCTAATGGGGGGGCTTTACGTGTAAAGGGAACCCACTTATCCTTGTTCTGAAGTCACCAATACCCAGTTTGAAAGCAATAAATTACTGAGTTCAAGTGTTTCCAGAGAAGGTTACAGGAACTGAACTCTGATTGCTGTGCCCCCCAAAAAAAGCAAGAAGAGGGAAAAAGAGACTAAATCACCAGTATTGCCTGTGGTCTCCTTGAAGCTGATCTTTCCCCATCTTACCATGCCTTGTTCTGCATAGTTTCTCTGTGTAGAGGAGGCCAGCCTGGTAGAGGCAGGGCTTTGCCTTTCCATGTCAGAGATGGAGGTCAGTGAGCAGAAAAGTATTAAATCCCACTTCAAACTAGCAGTCAGAGGCAGCAGTACCTTAGATCAGGGGCGTCCCGAGGCCGTGTGTCACCTGGAGCGGTTCCCGGTTTACACCGTGCTATGACGTCATCAAATGTGCGTGATGACATCATCGCACATACGTGGCGATCTTATTGATACCTGCTGGCAGACATCTTGGTGATGCACGCTGGCAGAGAAAGGCGACAGTCACCCGGCGGGATAAGGTATGTCGCTGGGTCCCCTCCTCTCTCTCGAAACTGTCGGGCTCTTGGTCTATGACCGAGTGCCTGACTTTTCAGAGGGGGTGACACCAAAATGACTGTCAGTCATTTTGGTGTCACCCGTCCAATGGTGTCACCCGGGTGCAGGCCGCAGCCCCCGCACCCCCCTTGCGACGCCCCTGCCTTAGATCTCACATTGCAGATATACAAATAGGAGCTTATAGACACAGCAGTGCCTACGCACCTCACATATCCGGAAAGGCTCTGCCATTTCTCAGAATAAATCAAGATAAACGGTAGATGTTTCTGGGTTCTGCTCGGGCACAATTAACATTTTACATTTTGCTCTAGATCATAGCAAAAAATGTTGAGTTCTCGTTCATAGCATACATAGATATCTTAGAGAATTGTGCACTTGTGGCAACAGCTGGAGAAGGTCCTTTTTCTGTTCCAGCATGACTGTACCTCTGTGCACATACCAGCTCCATAAAGACATGGTTTACCCAGTTTGGACTGTGGGACTCAAGTGGTCTGCCAAAGCCCTGATCTCAACCCTACTGAACACCTTTGGAATATAATGGGAAGCAGATTGTGACCCAGGTCAGTCCAAAATGTTATGGAAAGCCTTCTGAGAAAAGTGGACGCTACATAGTCATGAAAGAGGGGGGGGGGGGGGGAATTGATTTTAAT